CCCAAATATGGGCAATGATTGCTCAAATAAGAACAATAGTTGCTCAACTATTAACAATAGTTGCCCATATATGGACAATGGTTGCCCAAATATGAACAATAGATTCCCAAATATGGGCAATGGTTACCCAAATACAGACAATGATTACTCAAATATTACCAATGACTGCCCATATACAGACACTGGTTGCCCAAATATGGGCAATGGTTACCCAAATACAGACAATGATTACACAAATATTACCAATGACTGCCCATATACAGACACTGGTTGCCCAAATATGGGCAATGGTTACCCAAATACAGACAATGATTACACAAATATTACCAATGACTGCCCATATACAGACACTGGTTGCCCAAATATGGGCAATGGTTACCCAAATACAGACAATGATTACACAAATATTACCAATGACTGCCCATATACAGACATTGGTTGCCCAAATATGGGCAATGGTTACCCAAATACAGACAATGATTACACAAATATTACCAATGACTGCCCATATACAGACACTGGTTGCCCAAATATGGGCAATGGTTACCCAAATACAGACAATGATTACACAAATATTACCAATGACTGCCCATATACAGACACTGGTTGCCCAAATATGGGCAATGGTTACCCAAATACAGACAATGATTACACAAATATTACCAATGACTGCCCATATACAGACAATGGTTGCCCAAATATGGGCATTGGTACAATTAATTAGTTAGACTCACCTGGATGATGCAGCACTGCCAACTGTCATGGGTGATGTTGTGGCATCAATGTGATCAACAGAAGCTGGAAATAAACAACAACAAGTAAACAACCATGGAATCAAACAATGCAACAACAGTATTAACATTTTACAAAGATTTTATGTAGCCAGACTTAAATGCTAGAAGGTTAATAAAAAATACCTTTAAAAGACTTTACCCCTTTGAAATATTTTAAAACAATTGGAAATTGTGCAAAAAAAATATCCGACTCCAAAATTATCAGCAAAATAAATTCATAAAAATCAATTACCCACCCTCTCCCACCCCCCAAAACCAAAAAA